AGGAGGGCTTGGAATTTGCATTTAGCGATTGGAATTCCCTTCTTATGTTGTTTTTGGTTTTTAAGTATTAATAAAAGTAAAGTGTATCATATTGTCACTATGACAAATTTGCCATATACCTACGCTTTTTTCTACTTACGTTTAATATTTTGTAGGTATAAATCACCATTAGCTACGGTTTACAATTGGTGGGTATATAAATTAAGTTATACTTACACACATAAACAAGCCGTAGGGAAAAGAGGACTATACCTACATAATTTATTTGGCGTAGATACACAAGAGAGGTATTAACTACGGTTTATAATTTGTGGGTATTTGAATTTAAGATATACTTACACACATCAAAAAACCGTAGCAAAAGAAGGACTATACCTACACAATTTTATTTGGCGTAGGTATATGTCATAACCCAATTTTTGCTTAGCCTATTTTAATATTTTTACAAAATATATAAAAAAGAAAAAAAAAAGAGAAATCTTGATTTTTCTCTCTCATAAATTCTTATGTTTTAAACAAAATTTTAAAAATTTTGAACTTTAATGTGATGCAGAAAATTGACTTAGAAAATCTGTTAAAGAAAAATGGGGATTAAATTGAATTAATGGCCTTTTATACTCAATTGAGAAAATTTTAAAATGAAACTTCTATCCTGCAGGTACCCAATTGTGATAAGGAAGGAAGTCGAGACCGAAAAGATAGGTCGACGAAATATGTGGATCGAAGCATAAATCTAGCCTCTTCAAATATGTTGTCGTTTCACTCAAGCACGGGACAAAATCGAGGTCATCTTCCTCCTAGCCCAACCCCAGCGTGAATGCCGTGCGTTGCGGTGGAAAGTTCTTTACGACTTAACCCCTTAATCCGATGATCAGCCCAGCCTTAATCAAAGACGAAGTTTCGCGGAAGGTACCCTAGCCAAGGTTTGTGTGGGATTCGGATATAAAAGGTAAACATTTTAGGGTTTTGGGGGGCCTCTTGAGATCTCAAATCTGAGATTTTTGGGGGAAAAAAGTAGGCTAGAAGATTGATACTATGAAGTTAAGGAAAAAAGTAGGAAAATGTTTACTTGATAGTTTCTCTTATTAATTACTATTTCCATTGTTATAAGTTCATGTTACTGATGCCATATGAGTTGATATCTGTAACAGAGTCAATGTCGACGACACTTAGGTCGCCTTCATTATCTAAAATTAAAGAAAGCGGCAATCAATGCACAATATTGTAGTGGAAAGAAGGGAATTATAGTTTGGAGTTAAGTTTTTGTTGGTAGTGAAAGCAGGGAACTTTTTAAGATTCGTAGTTGTAATTTTTCTTCTATTGTTGGTTGGTGGATGGAAACTGAAAGGATGAATTAGAAACTTGTTAAGTTCAATGGCATATCTGATTTTGAGTTCGTACCTGGTCTCTTATTGCAGGTGAGATGGGGAGAATCAAGCATGATAGAAGTGGAGAGGTTGTTGCTTGCAGTTGCTCGAGAAGACCCGGTGAATCAAAGATTTGTCATGCTTTCTGACTGGTTTGTAAAGCTTGGACAACGATTAGTATTGTAATTGAGGAAATTTTCCTATTCCTTGGATCAAGAACATTTTCTTTGAGTTCATGTTAATCCAGGTTTTTCTTTTTCTGTATTGCAGTTGTGTTCCCCTTTACAATTTTAGTTATATATACAAGTATCTGATGGCTTCTCCAGGGAGCTATGTGGACAGGTAGATAGCAGCCTGCTTGATTCTTGAGGTGCCTATAATTGATTCTTTACAAATGGTTCCATGATAAATCAAATGATAGTGTTCTATCTGTTTTAAGCCTTTTCTGGTTCCTACTGAAGAAATCACTTCATTTTGTAGCTTTCTTAATGTAAAGGATGGTAGATACAGCTCAAAGATGTCACCTATCATCCCAAAAAACAAGTGGCAAAAAGAATCTCAGGTTATCCATTTTCTGTTATAGATAACATTAAATTAATATAGAGATGGTTGAGTGTTTGGGGAACTGGATTTTTTAATGAGCTGCTTTAGATTCTTCAACTGGATTTAATAAGTAATGGGAATTGATTATTTCCATCTTTGCCTCTCTTTCCTTGTAAAAATAGCTGAAGATAGAGATCTACCCTTGTCTCTTTTTCATGAGTTTTATATATCTTTTTTACTACTACGATATAAAAAATTAAGCTTTGGTTTCAACTTATTTATGTTTGTAGTGGATCTCCTTGGTAAGAAGCCATGCTGAAGTCGTTATAAATGATGAGATTATTTTTCCAGTTTTTAAGAAATTATGCAAGGTACACAATTAGCCGTTCTATGTCTTTGGTTTCACTAAATATTAGATGCTCATTTCTGTCAATTTTCATTTCTGAAGGATTATGGAACTGACTGCTTTTTGTATTGACCATATCTCATTAACATGCTATTGTAGTGAAATTAAACCAATCCAGATTGTAGTATGCAATCTATAAGATTACTTTGTTTTCTCCGATTGGTTTGTTATTGCTCACTTCTATATTATGGAATTAATGTGCATGGAAAGTAAAAGTTGCACATATAGAACTACGGAAGCTAAAAATGGTGTTATCCTCTTTCTTTATATCTCTACTCTTCTCTGAATATTCTTTACTGGGTGCTAGGATACCATGGTGTCTGGGTTATTTAATCTTAATTTTTAATTATTTTGTGAAATAAAATTTGATTGTTTATAATGATTATATTCATGATTTCCCAAAGTTAATTCTTTACGAAATTCTACAGGCTGCAAAGGAAGCTGCTGCTTTCCGAGAAGACAAAATCAAGTTGGAAAAGGAAGTTGAAGAGCTCACTTTGCACCTGCAGCTTGAGAAACAAATGAGGGTAGATTCCTTTTTTATAGATATTTTCTTGCAAATAAATTTTCTGCTTGTAAGCTATATGTTTGGATAGTCCTTTTTTTTACCTGCCTAACTTCTTGGTCTGGGAAACATTATTAGAAAGAATAACAAAGAAACATGAGACACTAATATATGATGTTCCTATTTCTCTAGAATCTGTAAACTGCATGGCTATTTGGGAAATTTGGTATTGTTTGTTTCTAAAGGCATGCAACAATTGATGCAGTCTGATCTTGAGAAAGAGATACAGCTACAGTCACAGGAAAATGTATAATTAAAGTCTGCCTTGGAAGAGATACACCTCCAGTTCCAGGAAACAAAGGCATTGCTAATCAAGGAACGTGAGGCTGCAAAGAATGTGGCCAAGCATGTTGCTGTCAATGAAAGTGAGGCTGCTAAGAAAATGGCTGAACAATCTGTCACTCAAGAGGTCCCTGCTTTCACTAGAATATTTTTAGGACAGGAGTCTTACACAGGTACAGATTATAGAGTGTATAGGGAAATTTTTAGGGCTTATTCAAGGCGATAGACGATAAATAGTACAAGAGTGGTATGGGATTTCCATGGTGATGCCTGGGACGTTTGTTGTATTTTTTTCATTTTAGGCCATGTATCTTGCATTCTTTTTAGAAATTTCAAATGAAATTACATATTTGTTATTCTTTAAAAATATCTATATTTTTTTATGTTTGAAAATATTTTTAAATTGAAATTAAATTCTTTATAATAAATTTTAAATTTTAAAAATTTAGAAAATATTTATTAATAGCAACTAATATATTTT